ATGGCTGCTGGCTATGAAGAAGTAACTCTCATTCTTCTAAATAAACAGACGGAAAGACTGACAACTAGGAAAGGACAGACAGGAATTACCCTTCCTGATGGTTTATAAAATAACATCTAAATCGTTCATTGTTGTCTAACACGTTAACAAGAATATTTAAAAATATTTTAAAATCACAGTCAACGGCAATTCAAATACAAAATCTGCAACTCAAGCTAACGCCATACTGCGACTCAGATCGGATAACGTCGTACACTGGGAGATCGTGCACAGAACGTCTCGCCACACTGCCAGGCCCAAAGCTCAGCGAACTCCGTGCAGCCTCCTGAGCCAGAGGAGACGCCTTCTGCCTGTACAAGAAGCAGAGGTCCTGGTACTGACTCACTCTGATGAACCAAGGCTGCACCAGGCTCCGTGGGCACACTGAAGCATTTGTGCACAAACACCAGCATTGGGTGAAAGTGATCTTTGACAGCAAATACACCAAGTTTAACCTCAGGTCCTTTGTTACTGAATGTTAAATACTGTAATAGAAGGTCACATGGTTTCTTTTACTTTCTCAAAACAATTGGGTACTAGAAGAATAAAACAGGCTAAAAGACAGATATTTATCAAACAAACCTATAGACACACACTGTAAAAGCTAACATTTAAACTAGAGCTTAGAATTGGAGTGAGGTCTTGGAGACCAACATTTTGCCCAACAGATCTCTATCCATGGACCACTAATGGAATCAGAAGTGGACATAAAACTTTTTAGAGGTTAAGAATGACTGCTTTTATTCAATAATCTTCCACAGATGATTGTACTGAACCCTGAACCTGATGCTAAAACGTCAGGGGCAATGAGGGCAGCTGGGGGGCAGAACAGCTTGTCTCTCCAGTAGCCTCGGGGCACAAAACCCCCTAAAGGGGTCTTCGGCTGTGAGCAGAGAAGGGGTTCTTGCCAGAATGTCTGCAGTTCCTGAACTAGCTCAGCTGGCTTTGCAGTCCTCAGTTTGGATGGGCTTGGCCCCCCGTGTGTAAACAGTTTGGGGTATTAAAGTTGGTTCTCTGCACGCTGGCACATTCCAGTTTTAAAAATAACATCCCTCTACTGTGCATTTGAATGCTTATCAAACCGAAATAAAATAAAAATCATGCCTGCCTGCTCATACGGAAATCTACACCTTTACATGGTAGACCGCTATCCCACACAGGCAATATGCATGGCTGACACCAAGACCAAGACCTAACAGAACTGCTGCCTGATGACTACCGCGAGAATGCACTGGCTATACGGAAATGAGAAATTCGTGTTGCATGGTAGAAAAATGCAGCTGGTCAGTAAATCAACATCTTTCAAAGGGGGCATTCTGCCTCCCTTGTTCACTATTTCCCCATCCTCCACTGCTCTCATTCTCTCTCTCCACAGTAACTCCATTAGCAAGCAGCTTGGCAGGCCAGTCAAAGCGCTGCTATTTACTTCCATTGTTCTGCATCAGACCAGGACTTTTAAATTACACTGACACTCAAGACTGCAGCTTGAGAGTCAAATTTTAATCACCATTGTTTCTGCTGTCTGCTGTCTGATGCCGATTATGGACCTGTCTCCTGCACCGCGATCCACTCAGCCGAAAACAAAGTTTTTCCCCCTGCCGCGCAAAATTCGCTGATTTTTTTTTGTTTGGACAGTCGTTTTTACAAAAGATGTGTTTTCGAATTTCATCCTGGCAAGCAGAGGAGACCTCTCCGGGCAAAAGGGGGTAACTGTGAAATCTTGGGAGGATGGTGACAGTAGAAAAGGAGATAAAAAAACATGTTATTCCAACTTGGTTTTCGGCTGCTAATGTTTGCTTTGGATCAGGTGTTTGCAAGGAAACCTGCAAACAAGAGGAGAGTAATGGGTCCAAGCAGCTCGTTAGGTGTGTCGTAGCTAATAGAACCAGGGATCACATCCAGCTGTTTCTAGAAAGACACCAGGACATCAGCTTTGACCACATGGCTTGATGGCTTATTCCCCCATCCCAGTGTGGTGTAATTGTGTTCTACATACGAGCATAACAAGTAACAAAGGGGAAAATGAAAAGGCCCTCAACCAACCTCTGCACTTATCCACAGCTCTTTTTCGAGTTGTAAAACATTATTTTCAAATGCAACTGACTTTCATTTTATCGCTCAGTGGAGGACCCGGGTGTAACAAAACCGCAGTTAGAAAGTGAGTGAATTCTTTAATGGAAGTCAGAAACAGGTCATCCTAAATTTAAAAAAAGTCCAATCTAAAAAAACAAAAACGAGTGTAGGCAGCTCAGAACAATTTAGGAAATGTTGGTGCTCATGGTAGGAGACATGGAGGATGTTTCCAAGAAACAAAGGACTTGGATCGAGACTAAACCAAAAAAAGTAAATAAATCATACGTTTTTTTATCATATTATTGGGATAAAATAATCTACTAATTTCCCCCAACTAACTGTCATCACAATGGCTTTGAACCCAATCAAGAAATGATTGTATCGTGTTTTCAATGCAGTCAAGCACCGATCCACTCAAGACGAAAGTGTTCACATGTGATAGAGTAAGACTATTTAGCTTTAAAAAAGTTAGTTATACATCTTCAATAAAGTAAGAGCAGCAGATAAAAAGACATTTATCAATTTTACTATCCCCCTTAATCAATCTTTACATTCTCATGCTCTGAAGAATAAAACAAAATTTTAAATATAGATGCCACCTTCTTTACCTGCAAAACGCTTTGATAATATAAGAGTACTTTATTGGCCATAAACAATTTCTTGTATTAGGAATTTGTCTTTTCGCATACCCCAACTTGCTATCCATGAGACACAGACAGGGAGAGAAGCTTGGGGTCAGAGCACAGGGTCAGCCATTTATACGGCGCCCCTGGAGCAGCTGGGGTTAAGGGCCTTGCTTAGGGGCCCAACGGAGTAGGATTCGTCTGCCGGCCGCGGGATTTGAACTGGCAACCCTCCAACCATAAAATGAGTCTAACAATAAATACTAGTTCTGTCCAAAAAACACCATATTTAACAGCAGA